TCCTTTTAGTTTATTAGCCAATTTTAATGAATAATTACCATGTTGAAAAAATAGCAGGGATATTCTAAAATCAAGTGAAATTAAAGATAACATCATGAATAAGTGGGAGCCTGCAGCTCCCAAGAAAAGCTTTAAAATGACATTTAGAACATCACTGTCGGAACAATGCAGTTTACAATCCTGATCCTAAAACAACATGGCAAGATTAATCTTACATAAATGCATTATCCTTAAGCTAAAGTCTTGATGAAGTGAAACAGACCATTTTAAATTAATGCAACATAAAATACGGCACCCATGTAAAATCCAAGCAAGTTTCAAGCTGTGCCTATGGCAGCCCTCAAAATAGCTGAAGAAAGCCCAGCTCTGGTTGACATAATGTATTAAGTGCATCTCTTTTGTTAATAGATTTAGAAAATTCCTAATTAAACCTGGCCTGAGATTCATGACATTTACCAGTCAAAGTTTGGTTTAAGTCGGAAAGATTTGCAACAAAATTAAAGAAAAAAAAAGCTGCTGTACAGACTGCAGTATATTTGAAATGTAGGAAACAGTAACTGAATGAGAGATGTGATAAAACTTCCTTAGTTGGATGCTGAATTTCCTGCAGTAAACCAAGAAAGATGCTTTACATTTTTGCGCGGCTGCATCATGCCTGAGAGACAGAGCCACAATTCCAGGAGGAGGCATTCATCATTAAAACGTCTCGTATCGAACCAGCTCTATGTACACGGGGGAGCACAGCAGGGTTTCACTGAGCCAGGGAGGAGGGAAGGAGAGAGGGGAGGGAAGAGCAGGTGCCTTGCCCCAGTTTTCCTGGGTAAGAACTGAAAAAAGGGGTGTAATTAGGGACTCTTTTTTTTTTTTGGACAGACAGCCTGTGGGGTGTTGAGTGGCAGAGGCATGCTCTGCAGGTCTGGGCACCACCTGCCCATGAACCAGGAAGCAGTGGGGACCCATGAAAAGGCTAATCCATCCTCCTCCCACCTGGCAGGGAGGCCCAGAGGGGCCTGGGGTGGGTGGACCCCTCTGATGCATGGCCATGCCCCCCGTTTCATGGAAAACAGCACCTGAGCTTCAATCATGTCAAAACCCACCCAGTGGTTCATCCCCTTGTACTCACACCAGCCCAAGGGGGCAGTCAGATTTTTGAATCAGCTGATAGATACATAGCTGGATTGACTTCTTCCTGAAGTGAAACATTTACCATTTTAAAATAAGTAGGCTTTCTTCACTTCCAGCATTTTAAAAGGGAAGAACAGCAGATATTTTTTTACGTGAAACCTATAGCTTCCATGCCAAAAGCTGCTTTCACACCAACCTCTATGGCTTTTCACCAGTTAACAGGAAAAAAACAGTTTTGTGCATGTCAATATACTGGAAACAGATTATCACATGACATTGAGATAACTGCAATGATCGGTTTGGCGCACAGATACCGCTCCAGTTTGCTGGCAAGGAACAACTGTTCGGACAAGAACTACAGATGCTAATCCTGTCTATAATGCTCATAAACTAATGGACACACAGTACATGCATATTACTCAGATGCTGGTAAGCAGCCTCCATGATTCCTTGATTGTTTGCATTATAATCTCCATATGTATGAACGAGACAAATTAGGTTGCCATTTATTTGTTCATTATCTATTATTTTGATTAATGGAATTCTTGTTCTCAGAATAACTATTTAAAAATAACATTTGCAATAATGAGGACTGAACTATTAATCATGATCTTTAGAAGAAACTCTGCAAGGAACTGGGGCAAGACATTTCATATGAACAAATGTCATAAATAGGACTTCTAACAGACAGTGCTAAAATTTCAAATAAAAACCCAACCCCAACCAAACTTAGAAAATAATGGTTTAAATAACTTATTTGCTTTTTTTTTTTTTCCTCCTCCCCAAAGTTGCTTTAGGACAAGCAGGGCTGTAGTGCTGCTAATGTAAAAACATCAGAGGTAACAGATGCCCCAGCCCTTCCCCCAAGCCTCTTTATAATACACATGGGGGAGTGTGTGTGTGTGTGTGTGTGTGTGTGTATATATATATATATATATATATATATATATATATATATA